AAAAAAGAAAGTGCCCTATTAAAACTAAACTTTTTTCAAGGTGCCCTAAACGAATACAGTCCAACTTGTTAAAGACAACCAAACATTGTCGAGGAAAAGTGCAGTCATTTCAGACAGAATGGACGTCATTACGATGTAGAGAGAATAAAACACAAAGGGGGAGCTGGGAAGTGGTCGTTTGTACAGGTGGTTGTCTAGGACAGGTGCCCGTTAGAGCAGATTCGTCCCCAAGCCAAAAAAGAATGTGCAAAGGGCCACGCTCTAGGATGGGAAAACACGATTTGCCCTATCTTAGACTACTCAGAAGTTCAGAAATGTACAAATTGATTTTATTAACGTTCTTCTTAACCCGACGGCGTTTCAGAATACTTTCATTGTGAGTGTTCTGGTGGGTAAAATTATCTTTAAAAAATGTGCTCCTTACAAAGAATTATGAGGGCTTTGTGCTAGAACATCATTTTTGGTCCATTTTTATTGAGATAGCAAGCTGGTGAAAGCGAGAAAAAAAAAGGAGAAAGAATTAAAACGCAATAATTCGATGCAGATCATTAATCACTAATTTACTGACCTCGATTATTTACGCCTAAAGTTGCGGTTTTTAAACCATTTTAATGACAGTGTGTAAGACGTCTGTCTGTCTAAAAGAACCACTCTTCTTTTCGGCAGTCATGAGTGACCGTCTTACGCACATGGCCGACTGTGTTATATATTGTTATGCCCCTCATGACTCACTGCAAGGTCTTAGAGATACGTAGGATGCTCATCGGAAACATGTCAAGGGGGCTCAAATACAGCATGTGTACCCACAAAGGCTTTTCATAAGCTTTTCCCGATACTGCACAAGTAGTGGAAGGGTAGCTATTATAATAGGAGGTGCCCATTGGCACGATCAGATCGGTTCGGATAGGTTCGGTTCGGATCGGTTCGGTTTGGTAAGTGGGGAAAGCCAGTGAGATTGAATTCGCAAAAGCGACCATCGTGGCACAAACCCGTCGCCCGACTCGCACTCGCAGCCTCAAAACAAACGCGTTTGTCTTCTGGACGCTAATCGGGCGATCGGATTGTTGTTGATATCCCAAGGAACACGGGGTAAAAGAACCTCATAGTGAGTCATAGGCGGTGTCCGTTGGAGGTTCGGTTTGGTTTCTGGCGGCTTCAGCGCTCACTATAATATGGTCACTTTTAAACACAAGGGGGCTGTCCCAAAAAATGCCGTTTTGAGAAAATCGAAGGTAAAGTTTTTGCCCCTTGTTCAGTTTCTTTTAAAGACAATGAGAGTTTTCTCTACACACCAATGAAACCAAACTTCTCCTAAAGGTAGGTAGGGCAATGCCCACTTTTTGAGTAAGTCAAGATTGCTGGAAACCCCCGAAATCTGGGTTAGCCCGCTTAATTGTCCTTAAAAGCGACCATGATAATATAGACCTCTATTATAGACTTCTATCGTATCACACGACTCGTGGCCTTGAAATACACGTAGATGTACTTAAAAAACCAACGCGTTTATAATATTAAAGGTCATCGTCGGTTTTGTTGGGGTTGTGCCACGATAGTTAAGTATAGCCCCCTACATGTTGTAGATCTAGTAGCTTTTCGTCCTCCAAGGAGGTATATCTGGCTAGCCAAGACGACCAATTTCTTCGGACACCCAATGCGAAAAGAAGCATTGGAGAATATTGTAACAACAGGCAAGTTTGATGGAAAGAAAGGCAGAGGCAGACAGAGGGGAAAGATACTGGACAAGGTGACAACATGGCTAGGAGCAGCAAAAACAACAGACACCATTGCTGCAACGCAAGACAGAGTGAAGTGGAGGTCCATGATCGCCCACGCCAGTCGGCAAGACACCGGATAATGATGATGATGATGATGATGATGATGATGATGATGATGATGATGATGATGATGATGATGATGATGAGGATGATGATGATGATAATGATGATGATGATGATGATGATGAAGACGACCAAGCCGAGCCGAACAGAACCGATCTTGCCAATGGGCACCGGGCTTTAGAATTATTATCATATTATTTATAAACCTCCTTGGAAGTTGTGTAGAGAATCTTTGGACGAATCACAGTCTTCACATCACAGCGACTCTCTGGTCGTATCTTTATAAATAGCTTTCCTCCTGCGTTGTGGCGGGGTCGTGGCGGTGTCGACACAGATTTCCCACCCAACGTCTTGTAACAGGATGTAAGGAGTCCCCAAGAAGCTGACGGACAGTAAACTGTTGACCTACATTTATCTGTTTCCCAACAGGTCTCCTGTTACAAAAGTGACCGCTAAGTGGAAGTGTGTGTGTCTGTCTAGCTGTCTGTGATTTCCCTGTGGTCAGAATGAAAGGAGTCGGACAACCTGTCAGGTAAGTTCTGATCGTCTTATACAGTTTTAGCATAGTTTTTTTCTACCCTTTTATTTTTTAGTGAACCCTCCCACCCACCGTTTCTAAAATACCACCCTCTCTCTCTCTCTCTCTCTCTCTCTCTCTCTCT